GGAAGGAAGCTCAGGTGTGGATTTGGTGCAATCAGCAGATTTGAGTCACTGAAGAAGCACTTAATTCACTCCTGTTCATTAATTAAGCATCATGAAACTTCCAAGCATATCATGATGCAAGAGTATAATCCTATGAAACTAGACCGGATAGGAAACATAAATCATCCTTAGAAAATTAATTTAGCTGACATATTTTCATGGCCTCAAAGATTGCCAAATCAAATGTACTGTTTCAAGTAATGAGATATTTCTATCAAGATATGAAAAAAAATACAAAAGCAGATTCTGTGTTAACTGATCTTCCAGATGGAAGGGAAATTTACAAACCTTTTCAACCCAGGAATCTTTGTATTCCACAATAAATGGATTTCTTACTTTAGAAATAAGCTCCATCTGCAAAAAGGAGGAAGACAAATGAAGGCATGCTCACCAACTTTTCACCACTCATGTATCATCAAACTAAAGAGAAACTGCAGAATTTTCACCACACCGAAAGCATAACAAGCATTTGAAATCACCACCATCATCATCATCATCTGAGCTAAGGCCTTCTTTTTCCCATCAGATATGGGGTCAGCTATAGTGCGCAATTCTAACTCAAGTAGGGCCCACGAAAGAATTGAGTGGACTTTGTGACCAGCCATCAAGAGGTAGTCAACATATCAAAAAGTGATGTTGAATTCCCAGAAAAGCAAGATTAGGGAGAAAAGGAACTTTGCCATGATGCGAAACTGAATTGGAAAAGGAAAAAAATGTCCCATCACAGGGATTAAAGAGACTAAAACTTGGAGAATGAAGATTGTCATAATCTTTAACAGGGAAAAAGAAGCCAAAGATGAAAAATGGAAAACAAGAATCAATCAGCTGCAAATAATGCTAAACATGGATCAAGTAAAGAAGCTCACCTCCTGGTGGGCAGACCGACGGGTCCGGTCAGTCTGGCGAGCTAGACGGATCTTTTTTAAGACATACCTGCAACAACCCAATGTGGGGAAGAGTTGGACTTAACTCAGTGAATGGAGTAAATTTTGAGAAGAAAGGAGAGGAGATACAGCAAAAAAGAGCTGGAACGGTCAAAGATCGGTTCATTGGCTTTCCTCACCTTTTGTTCTCAACTTTGTGCCGCACCAGTAGAGCAGACCCAAAAGCGCCCTTCCCTATCTGCTCCAAAACCTCATACTGCTCCATTTTAGGACCCTCGCTCGCCCAACCTTTCCTCAGATACGATTCTGCACAATCCACAACATAGAAAAGATCAAACCTTTCCTTTCAACACCAAAACCAAACATTCGAGAAACCCGCAGCTCGTGCTCCACGTGTTCTTAATGAGAGAGATTTTGCTAAGAACAGAAGGTGGAAACCCAAATGCAGATCACTCTTCTTCCCTTTTTTTTCTTCTAGAAAGTATTCAAACACACCTCAAGAGGGAGAGATAGATAGGGAGTTGCCCAAACCAAAATGCATCTATAAAGGAGCAAAAAATCGTAACTTTAACAAAGGTTTTACCTTGATTTAGAACAAGGTTGCTCCGGATTCAAGCCGGAGCGATCTTGATAGAAGAAGAACGCAGAATCGGCTTGCTATGCAGCGAACTGCACTGCTTCGGAGCGGATCGTGCTAGATCTCAGTCAAGAACTCGCATTTGTAGTTGATATCCTGGAAGACCACTATCCCTACTTCTTCATCGACATCATCGTCATCGTCTTCTTCTCCTTCTTCGCCCCATCCGAGACTCGAGTTACATTGAAAAATACTAGAGAGAGACGCGGCAAAGTGGGCTTAAAAAGAGGATTCGATCGCGTACTTCGATGTCCCTCTCTCTCTCTCTCTCTCTTTCTCTCTCTGTCTGCTATGCTTCCTTTTTCTTGCCCCTTTTCTTTTCAGTGTAACAGCAGAAGACAGAGGGGTCTCTCAACAGAGGGGGTGAGTGAACAGTGTCGAGAAGTGTCGGAGAACGCCAACAACAAGACGCGCCACATGCACGTAGTCATACGGGTTCGGAATCCGACCAACCACAGGATACCACGACTTCAAACGTTACTGGGTCCCACTTTCATGGACTACGCGGCCGATTGCGGTGGGTCTTTTTCCCTGTGTCGTGCTGTGGAGTCACGCGCACAAGCTGTTCGTGGACGGGGAAGAAAGGGCGATGACCCTCATGCGGGTCGACACCCACGGCGTACCTCAATTTACCAATCACGCATCGCCACGTTATCCATATTAGTGGGTCCCACTTGACGTGAACCACGTGGCCTGTTCAAATTGGGTCTCTTCCGGTGTAACGTGTTGTGGCGTTCATCCTCACCAGTCTTTCTCCTACCAGCCTATCTCTACCTCGAAATCTACCCGCTTCGTGATGTTCGATTATTCGTGGGTCGTAGATCAAAGCCTCGATCACAGTGCGGGTGAGAAACGGGTAACGTACTACCGAGGTATGAGGAGGCTTTCTTCATATGAGATCTAGCACAATCCTTTTTCGTACACCTTCATCCGTCACCCGTTGAATTACCCGCCATCTGGTGCCGTGTGTCTCAAGGGGCCCAGAGCAAGGCCGCTGCTGCCTCCAATAGGTAGGGACGCGATGGTTAGAAAGTGAGTTGCACAAGGGAACATAAAAAATGGCACACACGTCAGTTCACTGTTTTAGTCTACTGCTTAAGCGACGGTAGGCAAAAGCGTGGGGTTTTCGTTTTATTTGTATTACATATTTTATCTAATTTATTTAATTATTCTTTTTGTCTTGTAGCAGCTGTTATTATATGCTTCCCCTCTTTATAAAGTTCTTGAAGGGATGGTTTTGTTTGTTTGTAGGCAATTGGATAAACAGAACTACAATACATGTAGAAAAGTGCACTCACTCTCTCTCTCTCTCTCTCTCTCTCTGGGAATGGGGGTTGGAGGAACCAATGGTGGAGCCCACCTTAAGAAATAAGAGAAGACCTACATAAGAACACAAAGATGCAATGAAAATTCTAACCTTGAACATTCAAATCAGAGCAATCTTGGAAGATATTTATAGTTTCATATTTGGCAAAGTTTATATATTTATGTAACCCCCACCAAGTCTATATGAGTTGCATGTTTATTTCTCTAGATTTAATATTAATATATGTGTTATGCAAGACCAAAAATTTCCATAAATATCCTTGTAGTTTATCTCTGATAATTGACTATGATTTAACTGTCACATTAGATATGCTGAAATTCTAATTAAATAAAATAACTAATGGTATTTTTAAATACTTTTATTTTTAATTTAAATTATTTACTAGTATTAATTATAAGCAGTGACTAAAATGCTGTATTAGTATTATTAGTAGAGTTAGTAGATATGCTAAAACTTTCATATTTCATGTAAATAAATATGTGATCTTAGGAATATAGATCTCAGGTGATGATGTTTAGAATGACTGATTCATCATCTTCATCTTCCTCCAGTCCAATATCAACAACAACAACAACCATAATTCCAGTGGAAAACTACGGAATTCTCTACCAAGTCATCACGGTTGATGTGCTTTTCTCAGAAGCTCTTTTTCTTGTGTAGAACTCACCTACACTTCTTCTTTTGACCACCATTGCTGTGAACTGTTAGTGTTTCTACTGCATGCTACGTGAAAAAGCTTGCTATACACTGACAAAGTCACTGCATGCCAATTATCTCCATTATGAGTGCAGTGATTTCTTCACGCTTTTACTTTGTTTACTTTTTTGTGTTCCTTGACTGTAATGATTCTCCATGAAGCCGAAGAAAGCGCTCGTACAATATCACCAGCCTGAGTGCAGTAACTTCTTCAGCCTTTGTGCTGTTTACTTTGCTATCCTCGAAGTACATGTACGAGCTGAGACCGAGAAGAAGCAACACCTCCAAGCTTTTTTTGCTTTGCTTACTTCTTTTACTGTGACAGTGCCAAAGTTGTCGGCTTGTGTGCTTGATGTGGTCGATGGAACACTGCCACAGTCCTTCGACCTCATACATGAGGTTGCTCTTCCTGTGTTCCTGTCCCCGGTGAATCAAACCGCTCTTCGTGTGATCCTCATCAGTGAGTAGCAGATTCTTGACCATAAACGATGACCACAATCGTACTCCAGTTATTATATGTTGGGATGAACATTCTATGGAGATCAGTAGTGTGTCCATCTGATGGGATCATTCGATCTTGGAGTGGTCCATCATCAGGATGGAAAATATGATACTAATTAATGCTAACCATGTGGGTTTCACATGGTCCCGATCTCCTGTCTTATCATCCCTAAGCAATGTCTCAGAAGATGTGTGGAAGTGTGGATGTGCTCAGCATTAGAGTCTCTTTGGTTGTTTCTGCTGCTGCTTTCTTGTTTCTTCTGGTTTATCTGCGTGCCTTACAACTAAGGATAATGAAGGTGCATCGCTTTGAGGAAAAAGTTGCAAGTCCAGGCTAGTTTGTAGGGTTGTTCATGCCTGCATGCATGCAGGGTTTATCTTCTGCCTCTTACAACTAAGGAACAGAGGTGCATCATAAATTTCTCCTCATGGGAAGAATGAGAGTGAAGTTACCCTTTTTTTGTCACTGAAAGCTGCAAGGCTATGCTAGTACTTTAGGTGTTTCATGCATGAGAGCTAGCGATGATGGTTATGTGCAGAAGGCAATCTACTTGCCCTCTTTCGCAAGGTAGAACAAGATCATCAATGCTACTTATTAGTGTTGCCAGTGATGTTGAATGAGACATTTCCTTACAACTACTGTAACTTCATTACTTAACCAACTTTCTTTGCTTGTTTCTGCTGCTGCTGCTGCTTGTTCTTTCTGGGTTTATCTTATCTGCATTACAACTAAGGATTGAAGGTGCATCATAAATGCCTCCAGGCATGAGAAGAATAAGATAGCTATGTGTTTTGTAATCCACTGTTGTTCATAGGAAAAAAGCTCTGTTGATTTGTTAGGTGCATCATACATCATAGTAATGAGGTTCATGTTGCACATAGTTGTATGTTATGAGTGGAAAGAAGCCTACTTATCTTGTTTCTCAAGAAAGAACAAGATTGGTACCCCTTGATACTGCTAGTGATGCTAAATTAGATCCAACATTCTGTACCACACAAGTTACAAACAATAAACACAATGTCTGCACTCACCAAGCCTGAGCATTTCAGCTCATCCATGTGGTTATTGTCTGTCTACTATCCTCTCAAATTGATTCCTTGTCTGCAAACATGTTCAGTTGTTATCTACTTCATCCACTAAAAGCCATACAGGAATTACAGAACAAACAAAACCAGTGTTTTCCTTTCTGAAATCAATAGAACAGAGTACTGTTTAAGAACAGAACAACGACAATCTTAGCGGATCATGGTACGGATCTGAAACTGCAGGCAATAATTTTTCCCACGAGCCTACAGATCTCCATCTGCTTCCTCTCAGATCTCTTAGAGAACAGCAGATGCTGCACCGGCCTCTGAAGGCATTCATGGATTCCCCCGGCATTGGATCCCTCCTTCACCCGAGGAGGAAGCCATCTTCTTCTTCACCTGAGGAGGAGGAGGAGGTCTCTCCTGTAGAGTCATCGTAACAACTAGGTGATTGATCAATCACTGGTTCGATTGCGATATCATCCACAACGTGACAAATAATTATGATTTTGGTCAACTGTGGAGTGACAACGATATCTACGGTGTCGTTTTGGCTTGTCGGTGACACGATGATTTGTCGGTGTGGATGCCATGTGTCGCCCCCTCAGGATGCAACCAGATGAGGCCCACAGATACATGAATCTAAAAGATGCAATGCATTTTCTCAATATGCGGCGGCTTAAGAACAGTATCAATGCTTGCAGATCTCCTATTCGTCCTAAATGGTGAGCTCACTTTGTTGCTGCTATGGGTTGGTTGTTGAAGTTAAAGAACATTGTAATTGCATCAACTAAGAATGTGCTTAATTATTAGATCTGTATGGCTATTCCATGAATCAAATCATAATCACCAAGATCGAAAAAGAACAACCTTATCATATCAGCTGAGTAAAGATGGAGATGAAACAAAATTAGAAGAAGTTTTAGAAAGCAATTATTGCAAACAACTATGACAACATAACAAAATTAGCAACAGCCTGCAAATAATATCCAATGAAAATGAGACTTAGCAAGTGGACTGTTCATGCAAGTTACATAACAAAGCAACAGCCAAGTAATGCATGCAGATTAGGCCTACCATATACAACCTCTTGATAAATTAGTCGATCATCACCGATAAGACATTGTATCTAAAGCCATCATAAAACATAATTTACATCATGCAGCATATAAACTGATAAAAGCAGCATGAGAGATAGTAGTTAGTCACTAGTTGTTGCCCTCATACAGCCACAAGAAGAGCCTTCTTTCTGTCTTCGGCTGTTTTTCCTTCCATAGATATATTCTCTCAGACGAATCGCTGATCTTCTTTTAGCAACTTGTTTTGCTCTCTTGCTCGCATGATCTTCCTCAAATTTCAGCAACCTGTATTGAATGTTTGGCATCTCCAGTTCCAGCCTTCCAATTTTCTCAGACACCTTCCTAGCCCAATCGGAAATTTGCTTCTGTCTTTTGCTCCCATTGTCTTTTTCCATGGTTTCATCACGAAGGGATGCAGATAAGCTTTCCGCTTTGCTTGCCAACTTACTATTCACTTCAATGAGCTGTATTATGGATCCCTCAGCCTCCTTCAACTGTATGTTGATGGCATTGAACTCGGATCTAGTCAGGCTGCTGACCTTTAGAGATCTTTCCATATTCCTCTGTAGTTCATGTAAGCTTGCTTCGAGAATCACCAACCTCTGAGCATCAGAAAAAAGTCTTTCTATGACCATTTTGTTCCATTCCTGGTGGGTTGCAGCTTTTTTGGGTAGCTCTAGCTTGTCAACATCCAATTCTTTCTCAGCTTCCAGTTC